CACACACACACACACACACACACACACACACACACACACACACCCACGCACGCACGCACGCACGCTCGCACGCACGCTCGCACGCACGCACTCACGCACGCACGCAAACAATTACTTGCAGAACCTTTGGACCATAGATAAGGTCACAGGGCGAAAGGGTTGGCTGCGACGCATGAATCTTACGTGTTTCGTGTTCCCGTCTTTGCTCTTGAAAGCACGACGACATGCGCTTGCCTGATGGCAGTTCTGTCTCAAGTCACAATTCTGTCCCAAGTCAGTGCCTTGCCTTGAAATATTCCCAAAATGTAATCCTCAACGAAAGCCAGGTACTGGAACACCGGCCCGCTTCAGCTGCGATATGGCATTATCGTAGTCCCCACTCTACGAATGTCACGCCGACCAAGTCGGTTTCACAGCCTCGAGGTGGAAAGGTTCCGCCTCAATGAGAGAACGATTCGAATCAGTTTGCCAAGCGTGTCCTAAAATTTCCTTTCCCGAAGTGCGACAGTCAAGCCGGATTGCTACACATCCGGCTTGTTGAGGGCCTCAAGAAAGACCCTGCCTTGCCCGGATTGGTGAGTTGATTTTATATGACCAGACTGGTACCCACTAAACAAGCTGGATCATTCTTGACGCGTTAATCAGAGGGTTTGAGAGGAAACGCTTTAGGGCTTTCAAGTGTTCAAAAAAGCCGCGACGGCGATGGCAACCGCAGCTGCGCACAAAACGGACAGAAAACACAGATCGATATACAGCATTGCGATTAGAGATGTTCCAAGCTTGCGGGTCTCATGCTGAATGCTTTTGGTTGAATTCATGTTTGCTGCCTTTCCTCGCATTCAGACTGGGGGACATGTGCCGTGCTTGCCCCAGTTGAAAGTCCTGTTGAAGGTCTTCCACACCGCGTCGGCCGAGCGGCTCGGCCATCTTGGTCTGGATGTACATCTTCTGCCCAGCGTCGTTCTTCTGCTCACGGCTTACGGCGTAGTCGTAGCGGAACTGGTCGGGGTACTTGGAAACGTACTCCTGCGTCTGCCCTCCGAAGAGTTGCTCTCAATCGTGTAACCTGCCTAAACTGCCCAAACCAGCTCCTGGTGCTCATCGTCATACAGCAACGACTTGCTGTAAGGCACCTCGGGCTTCCGAGATCTTCCGACTTCAGCATTGTCCTGAATTGTCTGGCTTCGAAGCCTCTAGCAACTGGTGCACTCGAAACAAGGCCGCCGGCCAACCTACCTACCTCCGAGACGCACCCAAATCCCAAATCTGGAGCTCTCAGAAGCCAGGCGCCCCCATGAAGAGCCACGCCAGACCTTTGAACTTGCGGGAGTCGCCCTCCCCGCCCACCTTTCAGGGCGCACTGCCCAGGTGATTCAAACACTCCAGCGTGACAGCCGATCAAGAGATTTGCCTCACTCATCTTTTCCTTGAAGTGCATCACAACCACGGTGCTCAACTAATGAACAGCACGGCCAGCCAAATCGTGGGTGAAACAAGAAAGAGCCCCTGCATCCTACGGCTGGGTGGTACTTGCTCGATGTAGCATAACCTTGGCACCTTGTCGTTGAAGAGCAGGCGGCAGTACGCACGCATGGGCGCGATGCCGGTTCCTGCCGTGAAGTGCGGCAACAACTGTCGACACTGGGCGCCCCTGAACATCGAAACAATACCAGCGATCCTACAAACCAAGCAAACAGCGCTGGCAAAGCGACAGCCAACAGCATTATATGACAGTGCACGGCATGGAGGCGGCAGCTCTCCAAAAGGTGCAACCCAACACCCCAATCAAAGCTTGCAAACGCTCACCTGACAACCTGTTGGGCCTGTCGCCAGCATGACGATGTTGGCCTCTGGATCCTGCAGCAACATGCGTGAGGCACTTGTCGTTCCGACTTCAGCCTGTCTTCGCAGGATTGTGGCTGACGACCAAGGTCGCTAACGTCTTGCGGCTGAAATAAAATCCGAAAATTACGAGGATCAACAGAAACCGAATGTTGACTTTCTAGGATCCGCATTTCCGATGCTTCGACCCTGCCGTTCGTTTGCTGCACCTTCATGCTGCCTGCCTATGCTGCTGCTGGGAGTGAGATCTCATTGAAACTCTGGCCCCTGAGTGGCCCAAGGTGTCGACACATTCGCAAAGCATGCCCGTGCTGCTGCAAGACTTTCATGTGCCAAGGCATGCGCCCTTGACCGACAGAACGGTCTGCAAATCATGTCTGCCCATCAAAAGCTACATGACAGCGACAAACCTTAAGATTCCATATCCATGCGAGGAGAAGGCCTGCCCCGAACAACCACCTCAAGTCTGCCATCTGCGCCTCTGGCAGCAGCATCTCCGCACCGGTCGGGCCCGTAATCATCACCTTAGTTTTGCGCGGCTTAGCATGAGGTTTGCATGCAGCAGATTGTTTGGCCTCTTGTTTCTACCAAGAACTCCACACACAGGGCCACGTGGCATCGTCCCCCACGCTCAAGTCGCAAATGTGGTTGGAGCAAACACCACGGTAGACCTACACAGCTAGTGGCAGGATTGCAAGGCGCTAAAGGCACAAAGACGCATTCTTTAATGGGTGATGTCATAGAATAGCAGCTGAACAGCGGGAGTCCGTGCCTTGTTCTTCGGGAAGGCGGTGCCGGCTTTGTCCGGCTTGTCCTGCTTGGAAACTTGGATCTCTTCGGGCCATCTAGATTCATCTTCAAAGCGGTATGCAACTATGCTCCTCTCCGACCTCGCGGTTGGCATGCTGCCCATCCACCTTGTGAAAGCTCTACCGCCTACTGCTCACCCCCACCTTGCAAGCCGACGCCACCACATTTGCAGTTTCCCTCCTCCTCCTATCACAGGATGGCTGCGGCTTTCTAAAGGTCCACGAAGCAAGCCCTTGAGACCTTCAACTTTCACACGGTGGTTTCGTCCCAGGCCGGAGGAGTTGGAGATAGGTGGGGATGAGCCCCGCGCCTCCACCACACGCTTCACACACAGGGACACTGTTTTCGAGGTCTCGTCGTCGCCGACCGCGGAGGAGGCGATGGAGTACAGGCGGATCCTGGACTACGGGCTCCTAACTTCTCAGCACCGGCTCTGTAAACTCTCATCTGCTCAACGCGCACGCCACGGACGCCACGGCGACATGCAGACATGCGTGCCAAACCGGCAAAGCACATCACGCATCGCACCTTCGATCGGATCCACTTAGTTGCCGGATACCCCTCTTCCCAACTTGATTTGCCGCCGACGCCAGGGAGGAATGAGCAGAAATTCCCCAAACGCTATACCTTATACCTTGAGTCCAGTCCCTGCCTGGCCGGGGTCTCACCCTTCTTGTCGGGTCCTTCAGAGGGCCATTGGCTCGAGACCTCCCTAGCTCATAAATGCTTCTGCTGCAGCTTTCGCCTTTTACTACGAAGAACAGTCAGGCTTTAGCTTAAGTCCCTGAAGCCCGCAGGTTGGGCAGTTACGGGGTTCTTCTGGATGCCTGCACTGTTGCCTGAAGCTCTGCGTTCTCTCACGTGGGCACAAAAGACAATTCACGTCGCCATGGTCCTGGAGCAATCACACCGATGGACTGGCCCTCGATGTAGGGGACGTTACCACCATGGTCGAAGGTGACCTGTAACGATCTCGAAGCTGTTGTGGGTGTTCCGGCGGATCTCTGCTTCGTCACTTCAGGTTGGAGTTCAAGGCCCAGCATTGGGGCTCATTTGTGAAGTTAGATACAGCACGTGGTCCGGCTCACAACGCCGAGCCGCATGTGTCGTCTCCCAGTTGGCGTCGCCGGTGTCCTGCGGCATCCGCGCAGGCCGACGAATGATCTAAAATGAGATCTTTTCCAACACTGGCCGGACACGGCGCCCCGAAGGCCCGGCGGATCCAGAAAGGTTGAATTGGCTTAGGGTTTCCTGTCGCAAGAGATTCCCACCAACTGGTTTGCACCCCGCAACGTGGCACGGCTCCAGACTCTTGGATAGATTCGTCACTACGGTGATCGGAGCATGCTCTTTCCCGGAGTAAAGCTCCCTTTGCCCCGAAGCTGAAGTCCAAGCATTGTTGTGTCGCATGGATAGCCTACTTGAGGCCTTGGTACGGTTGCCCATCCTAAACACGGCTAAGTGGGGCTACACTACACCCTCTACGCCCCCCCTCCCGGCTTTCATGGCAGCAACGCAGACATGAAAGGCTAGGGCCGTCCACCGATCCACCTGAAACCGAAGAAAACACACAGCACACATCAGCTGGACATAGGCCGCATGATCAGATGATTCAAGGTGAAGTGCGAACTCAATCAAATTCCTGAAGACAAGTCATCCTGCTTGTACCTGTTGGCTGGTTCCAGCGTCCTCCGTCAACGTCTGCGGATGCTTCTGGTTCGGGACCACCTGAAACAACGCAAAAGCTTGCCATGAACACCCTTAAATCCTGTAGTCGACGTCTTTGGTCATATAGGGTCCGACGCTCCCTTGTGCATGGCTTCGTGCCCTTTGCGTTTGGAGGAAGGACTCAACCACTCCAAAACATCCTACGGCCCCGTGTGCTGAAGCTTTAGGTGTTCAGGATCGGGTCCTACAGAGCCGCAGAAGGAGTCGACGCAAACAGGTCTTGAAAGCTGCCTCTGCAAAACCTCGGGCGTAAGGTCTGACCTTTGGCTTGCGACGACCATTTTTGGAGTTGCAATTATGGGAGCCATGGTGAAAAGCCTCCCCGAGCTGCAGTTTGACAGCCCAAACCTTGAACCGTCTTGGGTCAGGGACTGGCGAGGGGGAGGCTTAGGTGGCTTGGAGTTGGAGCTCCCATGACCTGTGCTAGCCCGTGCTCGCCTGCAGGCCTTGAATGCCTTGAACGGGCTTCTGACGCGGAGCTTTGTGCTTACAATTACAAACCGCGGCTGTGCTTCGCTGGTCCAAGTCTTGAAACGTTTTCTGACATGCCTTCACCGATCAGGCGCTCTCAGTGCTCTCTTCTTCTTCTTCTTCTTCTTCTTCTTCTTCTTCTTCTTCTTCTAGAGGAGAAACATGGAACCAACAAGCGCGGAGGCTTCGAGTGGGGGGCGCTGCTTGGAACAACAAATGCGCATCGCGACTATGCCAGGCGCCGATAGAAGAACGCACGTTGGACCCGAAACGCGCAAGACTTCGAGCGGCAACCCGTTCAACCCTGCACCGGATCGACGCACCACCCCATGGTGCAGGCCCCGATTTTCGCACAAGCAACTGGTGCTGTGAGGCCTCTGCCGGTGCTGTGCGTCCCTAAAACAAGCTGGTCAGACATTGCAGGCTGGATTTCGAGCCCTCAGAGCTTGATGAAAAGCCACCGAAATCAGACATCGGACAGCAATCAAAAAGGACAGGACGCAGTCACGAGTAAGACTGAAGTTAGAAACAAAAACCCATCCAGGTCTCCCTTGAGTCCCTTGAGGCTCTCCCTGGCGGCGCCTTGGCCTTGTAGGGCGCCTTGGGCGTGAAAAGGTTCCAAGGGATCTCTTTGCCGTGGACCACCTGGTGGCTGAATGAGTCTGGCTGAGGGCTCAGGGTCTGGCATTTGGGTTAGCTTGCAGGGGCTTGACGGTTTCCAATTGACCGTTGCTTGCAGTTGCATTTTGTTTTGCAACCGCCTAGCAGTTGCGGTTTTGGGGTGCAGGGTTGGGGAGCTTCAGGGCAAGCAGGCTTGGGCGGCGAAGCAGGCCCAACGACTCTGGGTCAATTTCAACTGCCAATCCGCCGAAAGGCTGCCATGATATTGCAGTGGGGTGCTTCGAAGCATTCAGGATTCCAAAACCGACTTGCGCAGAACGCCGAACACCAAGCTCCTGCCCATGGCCTTCACACCCTTCTTCTTCACAGCAGCCGCCCTGCAAACGGTGGCTGCTGCCTGGATAACGGTAGGGGCACACGAGCCAGGTATTTCTCCATGACTCCGTGAACCTCGCTCTAGCCTTCGACATGAACCGAACCGAGCCCAGAAAGATGCATTCCTGTCCGGGACCCCGCGCCGCAGCCACCCCAGCGCCCAGCAACGCGGACGGGGCGGCACTGCCAAAGGCGGCGGCGCCCTGGCGAGCCTGGGCACTGGGCCAGGCCCTTACCCCCTCTGCGGCAGGAAAGCCCCCCGCCCCGAAACTGAGCCCTGGCTCTGCGCCCAAAACTCCTACAGTGGACCTACAAGAAGGGCGCGGGGAGGAAGGCTTGCGGGTTCCCTGAGCTCCCCTTGAAGCGCTGCTCCTGAGCTGCACCACGCAGCGCCCTTGGCGCCGCCTCTGGGGAGGTGCCTGGTCAACAGGGAGGGGGATCATTCAACTCTAGCTGTCACACGCCCGCACACTGCGGGGCTTCAATCTGAAGACTGGGCCGGCTACTCGCATTTGACACAGTCGCAGGAGCTGCAGGGAAGCCTGGCGCCAAGAACGCGCAGCCGCCGAGCGCAGCGGCGCCGATCACAGCCTTCAGAGACGGAAAGGTTATGCAGCAATCGACTAGCTTCTGTTTTGGGACATTGTCAGTGGACTGAGCTCATGCGCCTTGCCTTCGTGAAAGCATCCTCTTAATTCCTGGACCTCACTAAGTATGCTTCATTCAGGCTAGTAGCCTGGATCAACCCTTCTATTCGCTAACCTTTGACACCGAATGTCCTGACACCCCTGCTGTAGCGGACCTAGGTGATTCGATGTGTAGGTAATGCACAAGCAGCATCAATCAGTCAAGTGGCAGAGAGGGCCACCGGCTGAGACATGACGATTTGGGATGACAGTGCCAAATGGACTGAGGGGCCAAAACTGCTACGGTTCGAGTATGAATGTTGCGCCCCTTGTACTGCACAGAACCCTGACTCGCAAGAGGCGAGAGCACCGAGATCCCCCATTTCGGGTTTCGAAAGAATAACAGCTAAGAATTGCAGCCTGTGGTCAGCAGCTCGGATTGCTGGTTGCCAAATATTGCCGCACTGCCTCTTTTTGGCTCTTTCCTTCGGCATCAAGCCTATTCCTTTTGAACAGGATCTGGCTGTTTCCTTCGGCATCAAGCCTATGCATAACATCAGCGCATGCAGAGCCGAGAGCGGCTGTCTAGGCGAAGTCTAGTGTTCCACTTTGGCAAGGTCACCCAAGGCAAGAGCGTACATACACGGCGGCAGAAACAAAAAACTGCCACTGCCTTACAGCCAAGAAGGCGAGGCCTACGCGGACGAGCTGGGCTGCACGACCGACGCGGTTAATCGAAAGATCCCGCAGCTGTGCTGGGCCCCCCGAGAGGATGGGAGTGCGGCGCGTGAAGTTACAAAGGCAAAAGATAAGATGTGAAAGAAAAAGGGTGAGAACAGATAATCAAATTCATGATTTAGGATTTCAATGGATTTCATGCGTGAGTTAAAAGGACCATTATTCATTCTATAGTATAAGCGTGCGCACAGAGATGCATTTGTAAAAATGAGATGAAACATGAACATCGTGCGTTCGCTTGTTCGTTTCACTCACGCAGAGTTAGTATAACAATTGTACGAAACGATCATGTCATTAATCATGCGTGAGCGCTACGTTCAATTTTCTTTCTATCTTATGCTGTTACTACTTGTAAAAAATCGCTTTAAAATGCGAAGTTAGATAATAAAGGATTGGTAAGAGAGTAAAATATGGGATTCCTGAATGCACCACACCTGATTCTGGATGCAGATTCTGGATGCGCTCGGTACACCCAACGCTGCATGTCATCTTAGCCTCCTTCATGCCACAGACAGAAAGCATCCGCCCACATCCCCGGAACTTGACTTCGGAAAGCAGCGATTCCCCCTGCTACATTCTTCAACAATACCAGCGGGGCAGCTTTGTCCACACTGCTTGCGGATGGAGAAAATCGTAGGCGTCCTTGCGGCCAGTCATTAGTCTCATGCCTTTTGCACCAGACTCTGAAGGAGTGAATTGCAGTCTAGAGTCTAGACTTCCTAGCTGCCTGTCACTAGTCTGATGCCCCTTGCAGCAGACTGTCAAGAAGTCAACAGGGGGGCAGACTGTCAAGAGGTCAACATGGAGGCCCTTGGCTGTTTCTCTGGCCGAGCCGGCCATGCACGTAAAACGCACAGAGCGCACACGTGCGCTCTTCACATTATAACGGTGCGCACTTTTGTACAAACTAAATTATCGTCCTGTGAGCCTTCGCTGGTGCTTTGCTTCTTCTCAGCCTTCGCGGCCAGCGGCTTCAGGCCGTTCGACAAGCGCCACGCTACCTGCGTAGCCCGAAGCTCCAGGTCTTCCGCGGTCGAGGAATAGTTCTGTGGGGAGAAGACCACAGCAATCTCCTGGAACACGGCCTTGATGATCTGGACATAGTCCTCGAGATCAAGAGTCTGCAAATCTGGATTCGTGAAGAGCTGGTCGTAGGTCGACTGGGACGGGAACCGGAACCCATCTTCTGCAATGATGGGCAGCAGTGCACACTGCTCCGCTTGGCGCACTTGCAGAAGCCATTCCGCAACTTGACGAGAGTTGAAGCAGCCCTCGCTGCAAATGAGAAGCACCGATTTCGCATCCCGGGTAATCGTCTGCTTCTTCATGAGAACTGTAGGCACAGAGCCTGCTACTCCCGTCATGACCTTCTTGCGAATCAGCCCGAGCAAAACAAAGGCTGTAGCAGCAGCCTCCATATTATCCAAATCTGCAGCTATCACGCAACCCGCATCCTCGCTGGACGCCGAACCTCTTGTCCTGGTTGTGGACCCGGACAGACCCGACACAACATCATCGATGCTGTCGGGATTTAAGAGGCCGGGCACCTCGATCATAGAGATCGTGCCGATCCAGCGCAGCGTCTCCTCAACCTCCTGGAGGCCGATGTTGTAGTTCGACAGCTCGGACACATCGGGAACCAGCGTAGCGTAGTCCCGAATGAAGCTCGCATCAGGCTTCACGAAGCCAGGGAAAGTCAGCAGAACCGAGTGCACCTTGTTCAGCCGGGCGTTCACCATCTCGCCGACACACCATTTCCGAGTTAAAATCTGCGGTGAGCCAAGAATCACGAAAGTCTCGGTGTCCTGCCCGACATAACTAAAGAGCTTGGTCAGGTCGTTCAGATCATCACAGTCCACAAACGTCGTGAAGCGGGAACTGCGGAGCTGCAACTCCTGCTTAAGCAGCCGGGCATAGCTGCCTGCCGCGTTCTTCTGGTGGCATATGAAGAACCTGAAGGGCTTGCGGTACTTGAGCAGGAGATGTTTGATCTTTGCATACTACATATATACACTATACACTCATATGGCGTATATGTATAGATGTATGTATGTATGTATGTATGTATGTATGTACAGATCTTGTATTGCATGTTTTCGTGCAAAAAAGAACGTTTGCGAACATGTGAACATGTTTAAATACAATTGCGAAAGGACGCATAACCCTGCTTTGAAATTTTCGAATTTTCGCGAAAACAGAGGCAACCGAAAATGTAGAAAAAGAAGTGCGCCATTTTATTGGCTTAGAAACCTGCACATGAATCCTAAACCCTAAACCCTAATTAAACCCTAAACCCTAATTAAACCCTAAACCCTAAACACACATTAAACCCTAAACCCTAATCAAACACTAACCCCTCAAATCCTCTTTCGAGAAACTCCCATGTCATAGTTGCGACTGCAAGACTGATTTTCAATCTGAATGGATTCAGAAACCGATGTTTCGGGGTTAGGGTTTAGGGGTTTAGGGCTTAGGGTTTAGGACAGCATAAACATTGCAACATCGAATGGCAAGCCTTGAGGATCTTGATCCGATTGACATAGCACCCGCAACAATACATCGCACTCTCTCCCATCAAACCCTAAAACCTAATCAGCCCTAATCCATAAACTCGAAACCTAAAGGCTCTGAACCCCGACATCATGGGACGGCCCAGCTCACTTGCCTCCGTCTCATTGACCTCAACCAACTGCCACTCCATATACAGTCAACTTACGTGCTCTGAGACCCTATACCCTATACCCTAAACCCCCTAAACCCTAAACCCGAAAACCACCCCGAAAACCCTAAACCCAAGCAATTTTGCACAGACAAGGGGGAAGCTTCTTGCACAAAAACACGCGTTGCCACGCCTACTTCGTTTCTTTCCCATGGCAGTACCAAATCTGTAGTAGAACCCACCTAAACCCAACCCTAAACCCCTAAACCCTAAAACCCCGAACCCTAAACTCAAGTGTATTTGGTTCACCTGCAATGCTGCAAAAAACACATAGGTCGGGCGCACCCCGGTGGAGCCACCTCGTTGGGCGTGCCCCATTTTTTGGCTCCACCTCGTTGGGCGTGCCCCGATTTTCGACTTCGCCTCATATTTCTCAACTCCACCTCGTTGGGCGTCCCCCCATTTTTAAGCTACGCCAACCCCGTTTTTCGGCTTCGCCTCGTATTTTTCAACTCCACCTCGTTGGGCGTCCCCCCATTTTTAAGCTACGCCTTGTTGGGCATGCCCATTTTTGGGCTCCACCTCGTTGGGCGTGCGTGATTTTTGGGAAGGAAATGGAAGCCAAAAAGAGGACACGCCCAACAAGACGGAGCCTCAAAAAAGCCGAGGGGGGCCCAGCAGCGGCATGGTTTTTGGAGTCCGCCTAATTGGGCATGCCCCCTTTTGAGCTCCACCGGGTTGGGCGTGCCCTTTGGGGATGGGATGGAGGTTTTCTAGGTTTCATCATGGTATATTACTACCTTGTGGGATATCGTTGTATCTTTTGGCACATCATTGCTATGTCATAGTGCATTATGAAAGCTGCCCACAGTCATGATCTACCAAGTGTAGCCGCTCTCGCTGTTCTCGCTGGGCGCCCCGCAATCCACGCCCCAGAAGCCAATGCGCTGCGCCTGAAAACAGGTTTCGCCCTATAATATGCTAAAAATATATATCTAGAATATACGAACAACATTCTAACAATATTCTAATCAAAGTCAAATAATATACTAAGAATATACTGATAATTTTCTACTAATATACTAATCATATTCTAATCATGTACTTTCTGTACAATTACATACTATAATGTACTATTATACACAGTAGGAAATACTGGTCTAGGGGTGTAAGGGTTTTGGGTTGAGGGTTAAGGATTTAGGTTTCAGGGCTTAGGTTTCACGCTTTAGGGTTCAACACTAAGAATCGGAACTCCGAACACAAACTCAGGTTCACAGCTCAACTGAGGGGTTTCGGACTGCCTCAGGGTTTATGACTGCCTCTGCATTATGACGACTTATGCGCAGTAACACCTGGCCACGACCGAAGCATGGAGCGAAGGCACAAAATTGCAGCAGCCCAGGTGCACCAGCTTCAGCTACAAATAAGTCTAGAGGCTGAAAAAAAACGTACATCTTGGCTTTTGCAGCATCCTTTTCTCTGGCAGTGCAAGGTTCGCGGTCTCAGGCCCGTTGCGAGACAACCAAACGCAAAGCATGTGTCTTACAAACAGGATCTGTACGAGGGTGCTGCTGATAGATTCTGCGCAATATAAGCATGGAATGGTAGGTCACAGTCAAACTCTGTATAAAGATTGGCACCCCAGGGAGCAAAACAATTGCCAAGCTTTCATACCAAAAGATCAGCAGTTCCTATCCCACAGCACTCCGATCTTGCTCATCCCACTCCGCCGTTCTACAGCCGAAAGCTCTATATCCATTGTATACACATGAGCAAATATCATTCTGAATTTGCTTGAGGTCAAATTTCACGGCCCGCAGCCCGTCCTTTTGGACACGGCTCAGCGAAACACGATCTTTATCTTCTGGATGGTCGGCGGCAGCACTCGCCTCACTTTCTGTACGTCCCTGTCATCTTTGAAGACGAGGCAAGCACTTCGCTCGGCCTCACGCGTGCCAAGCTGCGGGGAGCTCTGAAAACGTCGTCCAAAAAACACTGGCGTCACCAAAATGGCAACGACACGACTTCCATGCCACTTGTGCTCAAAGTGGTACTGGGGTTTGTTTGAGCTGTTGTAGCGGGAAAGGAAGATCCAAAGCGCGTCCCTCGCTTCCAGTCTTGCCCATTCGGCATTGTCAACGCCAATGAGCCTCTTCATCGTGCCTGCCACTGCAGCGAGCTGTCCAGACTTTATTTGATTAACCAAGTCTGATGCGGTGAGGTTGTATATGCGATTGCCCACTGAACACAGAGCAGCTGTCCCGCATCCTTTCTCTGCCGCCTCGTTCCAAGCTTGAGCCGGCTCAGGGCATGACACCTCGCACTCTCCCTTGCCATCACCAACGCCTTCTTCCATCTCCTGGCGTTCTCCCAACAACTCCGCATCATTATTCTCCTCCAACTTGCTTACGCCCTCAGAGCACGCCTGAGTGCTCGTAGAGCAGGAAACCAATGGTGTGGGGGGCGGTCCTGGAGGTGGCCCGCTCGGCGGGCGGCTGGACGGGGGTCCTGTTGGCAGTGAGGGGGGGCTGGGCGGGGGTCCTGTTGGTGGCACAGGTGGCGAGGGGGGGAGTCCAGAAGTAGAGGCAAGCGCAGTCGGCGGCGCTGTGGGTGGGGGCTTTCTGGAGCCGCGGGCGGGGGGCCCGTTCTTGGCGCCCGTGGACGGTGACTGGGCCAGCGAGGGGGGGCTGGGCGGTCCTGTTGGTGGCACAGGCGGCAAGGGGAGTCCAGAAGTAGAGGCAAGCAGTCGGCGGTGCTGGGGGTGGCCCGCTGGGCAGGCGGCTGGACGGGGGTCCTGTGGCCCAGTCGGAGTCAGCGAGGGGGGGCTGGGCGGGGGTCCTGTTGGTGGCACAGGCGGGAACGGAGGGAGTCCAGAGATGGAGGCAAGCGCTTAGGAAAAAAAAGCCGCATACCATACAATTCATGGAAAAATGTTTGAAATGCAAGACACCAGACAAGCGTTGAACAACTCAACGATGCACCGAGGGGTGCTGAGGGTTTCATGGCCCGACGACCCACATCTTAGCCCAACCCACGCCGCAGCACAGCGGCCCATGATGCGACATGAGCCGTGGCTTTTATTCTCATATGTTTTTGTATGAAATAATTCATCCTTCCGCGAACCCCTTCCGCGGACCTTCCAAGAGAGTCACCTTCAAAATTCCGCGGCCGTGCTGTCGACGTATCGCTTTCGCGGCCCTTCCGCGGCTGATTTTCGCAGGGTTTCTGGCAGCATGCTTTCCGCGAGAGGCGCCGAGCTCTTACGCGTGTTGCAATGCAAAGGAACGAAAATTTCAACTGACATGTTTTGCCTATAAACTTTACCACCTACTCTAGCAAAAAAGAAGTCGGACAGACAAACCAAAAAAACATTCATGAACTCTGGGTGCCTTTATACAGAGTAGCTCTGAACATGCTTTCGTTTCGCAAGCACACGAAAAAGCACGAGAACGCAACTGGTCACGCTGCCAGATTGCGGCTTCCGCGGAGATTCCGCGGTTCCGCGGATTTGGCGCCCACAAACAAAAATCTCTGCCCTCACCAGCACGACCTAGATTTTTAAACAATGGACACAACATGCTGTATAATCATTAACCTGGCCGGAAATTCAGCTCTGTGACAAGTGTCCAAAATGTCTATGTGAGTCACTCCAGCTTTCCCTGAGCTCCCCTTGAAGCGCTGCTCCTGAGCTGCACCACGCAGCGCCCTTGGCGCCGCCTCTGCGAAGGTGCCTGGTCAACAGGGAGGGGGATCATTCAACTCTAGCTGTCACACGCCCGCACACTGCGGGGCTTCAATCTGAAGACTGGGCCGGCTACTTGCATTTGACACAGTCGCAGGAGCTGCAGGGAAGCCTGGCGCCAAGAACGCGCAGCCGCCGAGCGCAGCGGCGCCGATCACAGCCTTCAGTGACGGAAAGGTTATGCAGCAATCGACTAGCTTCTGTTTTGGGACATTGTCAGTGGACTGAGCTCATGCGCCTTGCCTTCGTGAAAGCATCCTCTTAATTCCTGGACCTCACTAAGTATGCTTCACTCAGGCTAGTAGCCTGGATCAACCCTTCTATTCGCTAACCTTTGACACCGAATGTCCTGACACCCCTGCTGTAGCGGACCTAGGTGATTCGATGTGTAGGTAATGCACAAGCAGCATCAATCAGTCAAGTGGCAGAGAGGGCCACCGGCTGAGACATGACGATTTGGGATGACAGTGCCAAATGGACTGAGGGGCCAAAACTGCTACGGTTCGAGTATGAATGTTGCGCCCCTTGTACTGCACAGAACCCTGACTCGCAAGAGGCGAGAGCACCGAGATCCCCCATTTCGGGTTTCGAAAGAATAACAGCTAAGAATTGCAGCCTGTGGTCAGCAGCTCGGATTGCTGGTTGCCAAATATTGCCGCACTGCCTCTTTTTGGCTCTTTCCTTCGGTATCAAGCCAATTCCTTTTGAACAGGATCTGGCTGTTTCCTTCGGCATCAAGCCTATGCATAACATCAGCGCATGCAGAGCCGAGAGCGGCTGTCTAGGCGAAGTCTAGTGTTCCACTTTGGCAAGGTCACCCAAGGAAGAGCGTACATACACGGCGACAGAAACGAAAAACTGCCACTGCCTTACAGCCAAGAAGGCGAGGCCTACGCGGACGAGCTGGGCTGCATGACCGACGCGGTTAATCGAAAGATCCCGCAGCTGTGCTGGGCCCCCCGAGAGGATGGGAGCGCGGCGCGTGAAGCTACAAAGGCAAAAGATAAGATGTGAAAGAAAAAGGGTGAGAACAGATAATCAAATTCATGATTTAGGATTTCAATGGATTTCATGCGTGAGTTAAAAGGACCATTATTCGTTCTATAGTATAAGCGTGCGCACAGAGATGCATTTGTAAAAATGAGATGAAACATGAACATCGTGCGTTCGCTTGTTCGTTTCACTCACGCACAGTTAGTATAACAATTGTACGAAACGATCATGTCATTAATCATGCGTGAGCGCTACATTCAATTTTCTTTCTATCTTATGCTGTTACTACTTGTAAAACATCGATTTAAAATGAGAAGTTAGATAATAAAGGATTGGTAAGAGAGTAAAATATGGGATTCCTGAATGCACCACACCTGATTCTGGATGCAGATTCTGGATGCGCTCGGTACACCCAACGCTGCATGTCATCTTAGCCTCCTTCATGCCACAGACAGAAAGCATCCGTCCACATCCCCGGAACTTGACTTCGGAAAGCAGCGATTCCCCCTGCTACATTCTTCAACAATACCAGCGGGGCAGCTTTGTCCACACTGCTTGCGGATGGAGAAAATCGTAGGCGTCCTTGCGGCCAGTCATTAGTCTCATGCCTTTTGCACCAGACTCTGAAGGAGCGAATTGCAGTCTAGAGTCTAGACTTCCTAGCTGCCTGTCACTAGTCTGATGCCCCTTGCACCAGACTGTCAAGAAGTCAACAGGGGGGGGCAGACTGTCAAGAGGTCAACATGGAGGCCCTTGGCTGTTTCTCTGGCCGAGCCGGCCATGCACGTAAAACGCACACGTGCGCTCTTCACATTATAACTGTGCGCACTTTTGTACAAACTAAATTATCGTCCTGTGAGCCTTCGCTGGTGCTTTGCTTCTTCTCAGCCTTCGCGGCCAGCGGCTTCAGGCCGTTCGACAAGCGCCACGCTACCTGCGTAGCCCGAAGCTCCAGGTCTTCCGCGGTCGAGGAATAGTTCTGTGGGGAGAAGACCACAGCAATCTCCGGGAACACGGCCTTGATGATCTGGACATAGTCCTCGAGATCAAGAGTCTGCAAATCTGGATTCGTGAAGAGCTGGTCGTAGGTCGACTGGGACGGGAACCGGAACCCATCTTCTGCAATGATGGGCAGCAGTGCACACTGCTCCGCTTGGCGCACTTGCAGAAGCCATTCCGCAACTTGACGAGAGTTGAAGCAGCCCTCGCTGCAAATGAGAAGCACCGATTTCGCATCCCGGGTAATCGTCTGCTTCTTCATGAGAACTGTAGGCACAGAGCCTGCTACTCCCGTCATGACCTTCTTGCGAATCAGCCCGAGCAAAACAAAGGCTGTAGCAGCAGCCTCCATATTATCCAAATCTGCAGCTATCACGCAACCCGCATCCTCGCTGGACGCCGAACCTCTTGTCCTGGTTGTTTTGGACCCGGACAGACCCGAAACAACATCATCGATGCTGTCGGGATTTAAGAGGCCGGGCACCTCGATCATAGAGATCGTGCCGATCCAGCGCAGCGTCTCCTCAACCTCCTGGAGGCCGATGTTGTAGTTCGACAGCTCGGACACATCGGGAACCAGCGTAGCGTAGTCCCGAATGAAGCTCGCATCAGGCTTCACGAAGCCAGGGAAAGTCAGCAGAACCGAGTGCACCTTGTTCAGCCGGGCGTTCACCATCTCGCCGACACACCATTTCCGAGTTAAAATCTGCGGTGAGCCAAGAATCACGAAAGTCTCGGTGTCCTGCCCGACATAACTAAAGAGCTTGGTCAGGTCGTTCAGATCATCACAGTCCACAAACGTCGTGAAGCGGGAACCGCGGAGCTGCAACTCCTGCTTAAGCAGCCGGGCATAGCTGCCTGCCGCGTTCTTCTGGTGGCATATGAAGAACCTGAAGGGCTTGCGGTACTTGAGCAGGAGATGCTTGAGGATGCCATACATGATGGACCCAAAGATAGCTAGAAACATACACACGAAAATTGCAATGCAAATCACCGTAGTGGAGAAAGAGGCATCGTTCGTCACCTGCACGAAGAGGGAGCCCATCCCCAAGATAACAAGAAGCCCTGCCACCAGGAATATGTCAAGCACGTTGCAAAGCATAGAGCGCCATGGCTTAGCAAAGGCCACGATGATCAGACTCGCATACAGCACCAGGTTCATGGAGAGAACTCTGCCTGACACTGACGGTATCAGAGGACAAATCACAACGAGCGCGTTTCGAATGAAGAACACCACAGAGAAGGCTTCAGCACCGGGCCGGAAGCGGATAAACAAGAAGGAGCAAGCTCGAATCATCTTCACGTCTCCGTCTGCCAGCCACTTTGGAAGTTGAAACAGAATAATCCAGGAGCACACTACAAGGAATGTGAGAGGCAGAATGCAGCAAAATCCACCAATCAACGCCATGCTCAAATGCTCGCCCTCGCCGTTGCAGAGGACTTCATGATAGGCCTGGAGCGTTGACAACTCATTGGGGTGTAAGTTGCAACGAAAAGGCGCAAGCAGGGACGAGCAGACCGATATGAAGAATACCATAAAGAGCGTCCCCACTGTGCTGCCCAAAACGGACAACCGCAAGCCTTTTGCTCGCTGGAGCGCGATGAATATGAAGTGGACCGCACAAGCCACGGCAAACAAGACCAGCACGAGTAGAGTTCTTGTCGCGAACTTGGCCACCTGAAAGCAAACAAGTAGTTCCTTGTACGACTCCTCATCCTAGGCATGATAAAACATCCTAGTCCGCTCAAGCCCAGCCACCGGCCCCATGGGCGCCACGCAACCCACCGAGATCAAGTCCAGGTCGAAGGCAAAGACGTCCAAGGAGGTCAGCATGCCCGAGAAGGGCTCCCCCCACTCGATCTTGAACTGTTGGATCACCGCCAGCTGCTGGACGATCGTAACCATCTGACCCAGCCCCAGCCCTGCGATGAGTAGGTTCTCGGGGGAAGTGCTCTGCTGGCTTTTCCGCATGAGCACGAAGTAGAGCACGGCAACGCAGCAGCAGCCGAGAATGCCCATGACGATCACCAGAAAATAGTCCCCAGACTGGCAAGGCAAACATTCCCCTCCCTTTGCAACTGAGCCCGGCAAGCACGTGCTGCAAGCGACGCTGCTGTTGTCCCTTCCCATTGCGCAGGTTCCCGGCGCCCCTCCCGGGCACCGATCCGCCTCCCCGAAGCATTGGAACACCTCACCCGGCTCGTCCACGCTGGAGAAATAGCCGGGGAGGAGCTGCAGGTAGTTGGACCCTGGGCAGATGGAGCCGGTGATGCAAAGCTCACAGCGGCCCCGGAACAGGAAGTAGCCCGCAATGCAAGCACAGAACTCGTCGGACGTTGCCCCTTGAACCTGGATCCACTGCTCCTGACCTTGTGACATCACCGCCTTGCTCGTGGTCCAGAGCTCGATCTGTGTTCCATCGCCACACTACTGGCATTGCGACATGCGAGTTTGGTTCGCGTACTGACCCAACTGGCAGCTTTCACACTCTCTGGAACCCTCCACAAGGGCCATCGTCCCCAGTTCACAGGGCAGGCATTCAGATTCACCTGGGATGCCTTGTTTCGTGCCTGGCTCGCAGGCCTTGCACACTCGAGTGGAGCCCTGCTCAGCCGAGTAGCTCCCAGCAGGGCAAAACTGGCAATTCACCGCCAGGGCTCGATCCTGCACGAAGTTCCCATCCGAGTCGATCAGGCCCCTCCCTGCCGTGCACTCCGTCTCGTTGGGTATCCAGGCCTGCCACAAGGCCTCCTCTTCCTTCATCCAGGCACATGCAGTTTCCCAGGGATCCGGGCTCCCTGAGTAGACGTGCCGCCACAAGATGCCCATGATCTGCTCGAAGGTGAACTGCACGTTCTGGGCGATCTTAAAGGGCCGCTCCGCCACCTCCTGAAATCCTGCCGCTGCCCATTTCGTCAGCAAAGTCTCAGAGTTCTGGGTCTTGTAGATATTGTTCTGGTACTCCGAAGGGCTGTGCTCGGGAAAGATCACCAGCGAAGGGTTGTCGAGAAAGAACGTGGTTTCCGGAACCCATGCATATAGCAAGCTGCGCAGCTCACGGTTCAGGGTCACGAAGTCACCGTCAACCGCGGTAGCGAAAGCCACAGGCATGTTGTGCCAGAAGGCCTGCTGCATCATTTCGGGCATTCCCCACGCGGTGTTCGGCATGATGAGCGGAACACACTTGGAAACGTTGCCGCGGCAGGCAGGTGCAAGCCACCATCTGTCCCAGAGGCAATCCAAAATCCTGGAGCCGCCACTTTGAACCACGCCTCCAGCATCGCCCGTCTTTTCGAAGTAGAGCTCTGCGATGCCCGGGTAGCCAAGCTCTGCACTGTCGGCGCAGGTCTTCACCCGGTTCACATCGATGTCGGGGACTCGGGCGGTGTATCGCGCCGGTTCGAAGAAGGAAGCGTTGTAGGAGCGGTAATACCTCACCCATGCTTAGTAAGGAAGGGTTAGGTATGACCATCCCTAGCCATCCCTTCAAGGAATCGCTTTCAGGAAACCCTGACAGGGATGGTTCATCCCTGACCATCTCTTTAAGGAATCCCTTGAAGGAAACCCTATGCAGCCTATGCCCTAAACCCTATACTCTGCCTTAGCCATCCCTTCAGAGAATCCCTTTAAGGTAAGATACTCCAAGGGAAGGCCAGCATCGTCCAGGGCGGCTTTCTGAGAAGCGCCGAGAACGAACATTCCCGACTTCCCCGAGTACCCAATGCTGCCCAGGTTGATCGGGGTTCCGTAGGGCTCCATGTCGATCCTTACTCTGGAATGAAACGTCTCTTAAAGGTTTTCCTTAAAGGGATTGACTCCTGAAGAGGATGGCTAGGGCACCCTTAACCCTATAGAGCTTCCTGAACAGGATTCCTTGAAGGGATGGTTGGGGGTGGTCATTCCTAACCATTCCCGGTCCTAAGCATGAGCAAGGATCATCTGCTGCTTGGTCCAGGGCGATGTGGTCAGCCAGTGCTCGAAAGAGAGGTGGAAACGGCGCGGGGGCCCACAGTTTCCAGTGATAACGAAGCCCTGATGGGAGCAGCCTGAGAGTTTGCCGAGGATGAGTTCACTGGCCGTGGACCAGTCTGAGTAGAAGTTGTATCCCAGTTTCTCCGCAACTATGATGCCGAAGATCTGTCCGGCAATCTTTGACGCATCCGAAGCCGTTTGCCAAACACCAAGTGGCATGCTGATACCATCCAACGTGATGTTCATGCGCTCTGCCTGCGGGATTGCATCTTGGAAGCATACCCGGCTCTCCACAGCCTGGAGGAGCAGAAGCAAAGAAGTCCGCCATCTCATTGTCTTCGAGAAGAGCGACATGGTGGTTTGGAAATTAGGGGGTACCCTATTGGGGTCCTGATTATAAGGGAATCCTACTATTTGGGGGTCTACTTTAGGGTTTTCGTTTGTGGAGCTAGCGGTGACTAAACCGGAGCGGAAACCGCACCCAGCCACGTAGTGGCGAAGGATGGTCTGGTCCACGGCCGCGGGCAAGACATCAAGCGATCGTTTTGCTCGTGTCGGGGTGTCAAGGCTTCGGGCGGAGGAGGGACCGGCAAGCAAAAAGATTCCATGTGTGTGAAAGAAACGGCCTAAGACTCTTTTTTTGATGCTCAAGCTTCCCGTTTAAGGAGAATTGGGGAAACTAGGCCTTGACCATCGTTAGCGTTCGTCCAGGCTGGGACAGAAGCTGTTTTTGTCACCGCATGTCGCTTGTCGTCGACCATGCATCCACAAACAAGGGTGAACGGCGCCAGAATCATGGACATACGCAGCCTTACACCCCGAGCCTTTCACCTTGAATCTCCTGAAGCCCTACACCAATGGCCAGCCAGTCCATACCGCAAATCACGGCAGCAAATGTGTTGCATTGACAGTCCCTGTAAAGTCTTGATTCAGAGGCCACCACCGGGAAACACGAAATGCAGGATGAACGAGCGACATCCACACTCAAAGGAAATATACGTGGGGGGTCAAGATCCTTCTTGCAAGCCTCCCATTCTGCTGTCCACTCTACCGTGCATTCCGTGTGTGGTGCAAGTGCCCGCCTCGGCTGGAGGCCTGCTTTGTTGAACGTCGTGCGAAGCTTCCTTGTGCAAAGCTTCCTTTTCCACAAGATGCAAGCAACTAGCATATGCTGTGTTACGCTGTATTGCGCAGGTACTGCCTGTGTCTGCCTTTGCACCTCCCAAAGCACAGCCATATCTACAAGGCGCACAGTCGGGCCACATCTGGCCACCAATGATTAACAACGCTTCTGTGACGAAGCGTTTTGCGAATTCAGCGTCAGAGTTCCGGCCGCCGGTGCCCCAGCGAATTTGCAGCATCCCCTGTGGGCAGCAGCCCGCACCCTTTATGAAAGCCTGTCCACTTGCAACATATCTCAAGCTAAAAGGAAATGCTGGCTCATGCCATACGCCATGATCGCAGCACGCTTGGATCTGTTCCAGTGGCAGTGCTGACCGTCATCTGTTCTCTACGGACAAATTTCAACTTCAGCCTGCTCTGCGACTACCACAGCGTCAGACACATGATCCAAGGAGACATTTGCAGAATGGCTTTGAGGGTTGTTGTTCCAACTGTGACCTATGCAAGGAATCCCGCCAAATCCCTGAAGTCTCTGAAGCCCTTGGATCGCTCCTTCAGAGCGGCGGCATCACGCACACAACCTCTCCACTGCCTGGCGCTCTACATGCGCCATGCTCAGGCTAAGGGTGCTGGAGTTTGGAACTATTCAAGCATTCTTGCTAGTTCGCAGTTTCGCGTCACCTGCCGGTTAAAGCCCATCTGCTTACAGCTTCAACATGATCAAAGAGGTCAACATACCCCCCACGCGAGAATGTGCACGACTTCAATAGCACCAAGTTCTGGAACAGCATGCGCTGCAGTGTCACAGCACGTGTGTGGTGCTGCAGATGCATCGCGTCTCTCGCAGCTTCGGGCCTAAGGGTTCCTCGAAATGGCAGTTTGCACGTAGCGACGTAGGGTTCTGTCAATACCCAGATGTTTGTCTCCGTTTCGCACTTTGTCTCGTGCTGGCAACAGGTTGACATCGTTAGACAGCTGGGGTTCGCGCATCCCAGTTCGAAATTCAAGGGCCCAGTGCTTTGCCGTAGGACCCTCAGGCAAGAAAACCTTGTGAAACCCTTAAGGGCACGAGAACTACAACCCCTGCAAAAAAGAGAAGCTAGACGAAAGCCCGAGCCCCTACCTGGCGCAGGGAGCGGCAGCCATGGAGTGCAGCATCAACGCTTCGCCTGAGTTCGGAAATTATATGGGCTTTGTTGGTTTCGAGTTTGGATCTGGCGGAGAAAGTGCCCTTGGTTGTCAGTCAGCATTGATGAGGCTTGAGGCGCGGCCATCGCGAGATAGGAGATTCCGGGACAGCACAGGCCATGACAAAAGTCATAACTGGCAACTGCGTGCGCTGAAAATTTTTCAAGCTTTTGGGTCCAACAGGACCGTCCATGAACGCTGGCGCCCCTGAAGCCTCTGCATCCCCAATTCTCCACCTGCAACTGGCTCATTGAATACCGGTACTGGCCCAAATCCATAAACCCTCCCAAGCACCTTGTTGCCCACACACCCTTAAACCCAAAGTTGTTTCTTGCCCCAGCTAGTTAATGAGCGTTATGTAGCTATTTGTAGTTGGGGTTGTTCGGAGTGCTATCTCTGAACTCTTTCAGGTGAGGTACACAAAGGAAGCCCGAACCTCTAAACCTTGCTGGGTTTAAACGGTACACCACATGTGGCGTTTCTGGGGCTGTGTACAACGAACTTTTTAGCAAACAACAGCTTGGTCGAACGACTGCGAAACGCAACCTGAGCGAGAAGCAACTTGTTGCGGAAAATACATGTTCTCACCGTTTATACGCCAAAGGTCCTGGTTAGGCCGGACGAGCCGTGGGCAAAAATGCCAGCAAAAGAGTGGCCCCAACAGGGACACGGAGGCTAGGACATGCAAAAGATGGCACGAAGAGCTGTGCCAAAAGAGGCAAAGACACCAAAGGCAAACTTCAGTTGGGCGATGCCATTTCGTGAATGGACAAAAAAAGCCTAGTCGAGTCCTATTTGATGATTTTGTTCCCAGAGGAAACCTTGAGCTCATGGCTTGGAAAAGCCCATGTCGCGGAGCTTGGAGGCCCACTTCCTTGGCCAAGGATGTTAGGATGTGTTGGGGCCCTAGCTAATGGTGCACAGAAGGACCAAGAGCACAAAGTGCACCAAGAACTTGTAAAACCACCACACCCACATCCAAGAAGAAGGCATCGTAGCGTCGCTGCGGCCGAGACTCTCGCACTTGGTCTGGGCTCTGGCATCCACTGCCACCACCACCGCCTGGCTGTGTGAACTCTAGGGAAATTGGCTGAGAGCGAGCCCAGGGACATTCTCAGGAAAGACGCCGCGCGGCCGTGAGGTCTCTCAACCCCCCCCCCCCACAGAATAACATTTTGGAAGCAGTAAAACATTCGCTCAACACTTGACTGTTGCCGCGAAAGCTATGGAATCACAGGGGCCAGAAATCAATCTAATGCACAAGTCCCCGAACTGTGGCGCCCTTCCAGATAGCAATGGTCCATCAAGACGTGAAGCCCCAAAGCAAAGTCGACAAGGGCCGTTGCCACTCAGTGGCTCCCGCATACCTGTGAGCATGTACTTAACGCTGTCTCTGGTATCCGATGATCCCTCCGGACCAACTCGCCAGCAGAACTAAAACTACAGGGCGACATCCCAATTCACCAGCTGATCCGACAGCACATCCAAAACGACATTCTGATCACCCTATGGCCTGGCCTTGGCCTTGGCCTTAGCCTGAGCTTTGGCCTTGGCCGTGGGCTTGGCCTTGGCCTTGGCCGGGGCAGCTGCAAGGCGATGCGCAGGCGTCCTGCGATAAAAAACAGCGGTTTCAGGGTTTGAAGTCCGAAGATTCAAGCCTTCTCGCAAAACCGGTAGACTACAGTGCCCAGAACCTCGCTCGGTCTTCTTTGCGCTCACTTGCACAAGCACCAACCACCAAGGGCTTGCATGATGAAACATGATGCACGAGCCGTGCTCACGCCGTGATAACCATTCAATGTCAGGGCCTCAATGTCTCCAGCTGCCTGGCGGCGCTTGGTGGCTGCTTGCCCCGGAGGCGCCTTCGGGGCCTCACGGCATCCATCCCACAATTGCTCCCGGACTTGCATTCTCCTCCTGAACCTTGTATCCTGCCTTGTTTGAATCCAGGAGACACTGGCGCTTTGCTACTAAAGTTCTGGATGCCCTGGCACAAGCCCATGGTCCCGGTGCCGAGTGCACACTTTGTGGAAACTGCAGGTAAGCCCTGCAAGCCCCTCTCATGTGCCAGGGCTCGCACCCTGTCTCGGTGTCACAGCTCGGGCGTGGGATCTCGGACCGCTTCCTCCCGGACAAGTACTTTGGGCCTCGAGCTGTTGCTCTACCTATAATTACCTAAAAAATTTTCCTCATATAGGTGCTAACCGCAAAGGCCATATCAGCCTCTGCTCGGGGTCCTCTTGCCGGCAACAAGCAGCTCGCGAGCGGCGGCCTGAGACTTCCATTCAAAAGTTTGGGATGCGGAGATTTGGTTGGGGGGCAATCCTGAAACTCCGACACCCCATGCTCAAACGCCCCAACTCAAACCTATACCCGCCTTGGACCTTACCCATTGTTCTACTACATGTCGCTTGGCCTGGCACTGATCGGCACTCCAAAGGTCCGCCGGGACGGACAAGAGCGAGCCTGGGATCCCC